TAAGCAAATTATTTTATTATGTTAATATCAAATACTAAATACAACATATTATTATTTTATCTAATTTATACTATATATAAATGTAAATTTTTTTTTTTTTANATAAAAATATTTTTACGCATTTGATTTATTTAAATGCTATTAAAAACAGGTAGATAATACTATTTATAGAGCAGTATAGTATAAGAGTCTTTGAGTATTTAATTAATGTGTCATATACATTTCTATATTAATAAAGTCTCAAATAAATAAAAATGTTATAAGTTAATATTTTAATTTTTCAATGTATAAAAATAATTCTTTACAAAATTTATTAATGAAATTTTAAAATATATATATCTGAAAAAAAAATTTCCTTCATTGCATTGTCGACATATATAGGAAAAAAGACAATTTTTTAGAATATAAAAATGTATGAATAAATATGCTTTGTTGAATATATCTTGATATTTTCTTACGATCCTAAGAAGTTTTAATAGACCTTTTATTTAAAAATATACTATTATAATGTAGGTATATTATTTTTGAAATTAAAAAAAAATAATTATAAAACTATTATATAAATGCTTTTTAAAAATATGATGAAAAAGAATTTATTTGTTATTTCTGTAAATGTTACCTCTTTATCTATGATAGTACAGTAAATAATTAAATATTTATATCTTTTTTTAAATTATGCTAATAAAAATTTATTTTTTATTTATTTTATTTAGTTATAATTTAACAAAATTAAATAACTGAATTTGATTAAAAATTCATAGGTATACTTATGTAAGGAGTAAAAAGAAATATCGTGCTTTTTCTGTAAATATGATTTATTAATTTATTAGTTAAATGCTCTTTCAATATATTAGATATTCAAATTTATAAAAAATATGTAAAGTAATATGTAATGATTTTATTTATTATAACTTATTGTAGTTAATATATAATTCCTATATAATATCTCATATAATATGAAAAAATAAACTACATATAAAATTTATATTCCTGTTAAAAAAATAGAATATAATAATTATAAAATTTAGTTTAGAGAAATTAATAAATATTCTTATATATTTTTATTGAAATTATTCTCCAAAAAAAAAAATACTAGAAAAAAAATTAATATTTCTCTTTTTCATTTATATTAATTCTCAATATCCATAAACTTTTTTTTTTTTTTTTTTTTTTTTTATACGATTAAATTATGTATGTATGTATGTATATATATATATAATTATTTGTATAAAATATATTATAATATTCATTTTATTTTCTTATATATTTTTATACATTATATTAGACTAATAATTTATTATTTAACTATTGAATATGTTTGCAATATTTTATGCAGTCAAATTAATAAAGACCATTGTTTTATTAACTGGGTGTTCGGTGACTTTGCTATTTTACTGAACAAACAAATTGATAAAGAGTATGTAGAGTTGCCTCTATGGTTTTGATGTATTTATATATATTTTTAAATGCTTTGAACGAGTGATTCTTAATTATGTAATCTATATCATTCAACATTCTTTAATTTCAATAGGCATTTATATATATTAATAAAAATCTTCATTTTTATTAAAAATTTAATTCCTTATTGATTATGGATTATTGTTTATTTTTAATTTATTTATTTCTTTTTTATGAGTTATGTTCAGCAATTTAAATATATTACTGTTGAATTAATAAACATAAACAATTAGTGAAAATATAAATTAATTATATGAATATTAATTACATGAAAATTATATTATTATATGTATAAAATTTTCTCTTATAAAATTCATGAAAATCATATCTCACTCCAAAAAAAAAAAAAATCTCTTTTTTTTTTTTTTTTTTTTTATTTTTATTTATTGGTAACAAACCTTTTTCCAATTGATTTTCTTTTTTTTTTTTTATAAAAATACAAACAAAAAAAAATTGATCTTTTTTTTTTTTTTTTATGTGTGTGCATGACCAACTACGTATTCTTCACATAACTAATCCTTTTATTTTCCAAAAAGGTTAATAAAGCCTTTTTTTAACAAACCATGAAGAAAAATGTTTGCTTTGTTTATTAAAAAATAATTTTATAATATAAATATAATTTACAATAATTTAAAAGATAATTTTTATATTTATTATTTATTTTTAAGAATAAGTTAATATTTAATTTAATAATAATAGCATATCAAAAAAACAAAAAAAAAAAACAAAGAAAAAAAAAATATATTATATAAATTTATTATTTAAGATCATGTTTAACTATGTGTCATTTTTGTACTCTTACAATTTATTAAACTTAACACATTAAATTAATGGCGTTTAACATTTTTTCGAATTATATAATAACGTTTTAATGATAAATAACCATTATTATCTTATATAAAGTATTCAGTAATATTCATTTAAACATCATATATAAATTCAGAATTTATGAGTTATTAATATTTTTAGCAACATATAAACAACTTTTCTCTCTCTCTCTCTCTCTATATATATATATATATATTATAAGTGATTTTTTAAAAAGATTTAGGCTTAAAGCAAAAAATACAAAGAAGACAAAATAAAAATAAATCAAATAAGAAAAGAAAAATGACATGCTTCCTTTATAGGAATATATGAAGTTTATATAAAAGTATATACATTTTTATCCACAAAATTTATATAGAAGTACTTATTTTACAATGAAAATTGTATAAAAAAAATATAACATTTTTTTTTTTTATTTTGTCAATAGTTCCTCTTTTTTATATTACAAAGTATGTTATGTTAATATTTCATATATAAGAAATATAATTTTATTTCGTTTATCAAGAAGTAGATTAATTCTAGAATTTATTTATGTTAATAATATTCATAATATTAAATCCATTTACATTTATCAAAGAATCTTCAAAAAAATAAAATTGAATTAACATATATTTTTATAATAATATAAAAAAAAAAAAAAAAAAAATTTACTATTATAAAACGTATTTATTTATGTTCCAAGAAATTTCATCTATTGTTACTTTATTATTAATATTTCTTATTTTTTTCTTTATAATTAAAACTATTTATTATTATATATTTATTCATGTATTTCACTGCTGAATATATTACTTAAATTTTTTTATTAGTTTCATTTATAAGTATCATCATTTTTCATCTAAACTACTTTAACTACAATTTCTAATTACATTTTATTAGTTCTTTAATTGTAAAAATTATTTATATTTTTTATTTAAAAAAAAAATTATTAAGTATCCACTAAAATGAGTAAAAATTAATTTATATATATGGACATTTAATAATAATATTAATTTTTTATTTTAATTATAGCTGAACTGCATTTTTTTAAATTATTCTTGATTATATCAATTTTTAATAATAAAATGTAATTTTTAAAATAAAGATTTCTATTAAAAAGAAGTAAAAATTAACAATATAAAGAAAATATTGATTTTTAATAAATAAAAGAAAAACTTTTTAATACTAAGTTTTAATTCTTAATTTTGAAAGTAATAACTTTATAATTTTTTTTATTTTTACTATGATTTTTAATAAAAGACTGTTTCTTTATTTTTGATGATAAATTTTCTATAACTATTACATATTAATTATTCACTTAAAATTTTTTTTAACTTTTATTATTAAATTTTTGCTAAATATGTTACGTTTCTCTTAAAAAATATTCTTTTTGCATAATTTTTTTGACTTTGAAGTTGAACATCTTTTTTAACAAAAACCATTTTACATAAATATATACACTTGCGTACTTCAAAAAAAAGTGAAATTTAAGCTATTATATGAGTAAAGAAATTGATTTTATGCTTAGTATTTTTATCATAAAATTGTATGCAATTATTTCAATATAATATTTTATTTTAATGTATATTTTAAAGAAAATATTTGCTATGATGCTAGTATAATTAAAGTTATTTGCAAACATGATATGTAGTATTTTATACCTACATAAAGAGAAACATTTGAAAATAAAATAGAATTAAATATAAATTTATTATTTATTTTATAAGTATGGCAATATAAATTGTAAATATATGCAATAGAAACAACTATAAGTACAAAGAAAAAGAAAAAAATATATAATTTCGCAAATATGCCTTTCTTTTTTTTTCTATATTTATAAAATAGTTTTTTATTTTTTTTGTGTTTGTTTATTAACCTTTAAGGTGATTTCTTGTTTAACATTACTCGAAAGTTATCCTTTTTGTATTTTTTAAAAATGTAGATATATATTTATATGAAGATGATTATGTACAAAAAATATAATTATTAGTAGATATTTATTTAAATTTTCTTAAAACTCATATAAAATTAAAAAAAGTATTCTTTCATTTTAAAAAATTTAAAACATTAAAATTCAAACGCTTTAAAATCACATGTTATTCAAATTTTTACCACTCAAAAAAAATTTACCAAATCCTTCCTAAAAAGTTTAATTAAAATTTTGTTTTTTTAAGATTTAAATTATTTCAAAATATTTCTGAAATAATTATAATACTTCTTAAATAATATTCTATAAAGAATTAAACTTCTATATAATTAATGATAACACTGTAAATTAAAAAATAATATAAAAATTAGTAGTTGTTAATATTTGAGACTTCTTTTGTTACATTTTTTAATATTTTTATGAATGCTATAAATTTTTTTGTTTATAAGAAAACTTTTAAAAAAAGTGTTAAAAATAACTAAAAAAAATTATAAATTTTAAAAATATATTTAACTAAAAAAAGTGTATATTTATAATAAACATAAATGACTACAAATATTTAAAAATTACATATAAACAAAAAAATAGATTTCTTTTTAATATATTTACGTAATCTATCACAAAGTAATAAAAAATCTAAAGAGAAAAAACATTATACGTAATAAAATAAAATTATTAAAGAAATGTTCTAAAAATAATCTATTAACATTGAAAATGAATGATTTAAGGTAAAAAAAAAAAAAAAAATGAAAAGATATCCAATCAACTAAAAATATATAACAAATTTCTTTTACAATACATTAAATTATTAAGATAATGTAACAAATTTCATTTCAGAAAAATTTATATTTTCGTTAACATTTTTTATAATATTATATTTTATTATAAATATGTTACTATATTCATTAATTTCTAGAATTATATGACCATCTTCAACTACAACACAGCTATTGACTAACATAAGGGTTTCCTCTTTCTAAACATAAAAAAAATAAAATCAACATGTTCAATCAAAATAAAATTTGAATATATTTATAAAAATGTTTATATAATTATTTAATTTTTATTTCCTTCATTTTATTCCTCTATTTTTTTTTTTTTTTTTTTTTTTACCAGACAAAATTCCTTATATTTTATACTTAACTTTAAGTAAATGCAGCCAGTTTCATCTCCCATTAAAATATACATAAAATTTTCTATTTTAAATAAAAAAAAAAAAACATGTAATTACAAATGTATATTATTTCATTTCGTTTTTTTTATATAGTACAACTTTTTTTTAGTATAAATTTTTTTCATATAAAAATATATCATTTATAGTATTTTTATATACCGTTCATATAATTTACGCATATTATTTTAAGAACAATATTAAATAAATGTAGATATGGTCTTAGTTCTTTGCATTTTCGAAATTCTAAGTGTGGTAAATATTTTAAACCCCTTATATATGTTAAGCTATTTGATCCATATTCAAATTTTTTTGCAAAAGAAAAAGGAATTCTATTAATAATTTTTTTTTTCTTCTTTATTTCATCTAAGATGTTAGTTTTAGATTTTGTTGTATCAAAATTGAAATTAGCTTCTTTTTTATCCAACATGAAATTATTTCCACAATTAGCTATATTAAGAACTTTTTCTTTTTCAATTATTCCATTATATTCTTCTATAAAATTTTTATGATCTTTCATATCATCAATAAGCATATTTTTATTTTTTCTTAAATTAGGTATTTTTTTATGTCTAAAATTATCTTTATAATCAATATATGTGTTTTTCCTATTTAGCATTTTCCTTTTTTCATTAAAATAAATTTCATTTTGCTTCTTTGATATTGTATTTAAATGATTTTTAATAATATTTTTTGATGTTTCATAATTTTTTTGCATGTTTCCTTCATTATAATTTAAAAAGTCAGTATAATTCATCTCTGTATATTCACCACTCAAATTTTTTTCTTTTATTATCATATTCCTCAAATTAATATTATGAACTGTTTTATTTTTTTTAGGGTTTTTATGAATACATGATAATAACGAATCCAATTTATTATCATTTATAAATGTGTTCATATTTTTTATATTATGTAAATGTATACTTTTTTTCTCCAAATTTTCATTTTTAAATAATTTATTCACCTTAAATTCTTCTGTTTCTTTATTTTCATATAAAATGTTTTTAAATAATTTTATATCTTCACTCTTTCCTATAATATTGTCTATTTCATCTATGTTTCTAATTTTATGTGATTTATCAAACTTCAATTTTTTTACTTCTTTATGTTCAATTAAACAATTTTCGAAGAAATTTTCATTTTCTTCCTTTTTTGTTATGCTATCTATTTTATTTATTTTTTCATTTTCAATAAAAATGTTTTCAAATAATTTTTTATGATCTTTTTCTATATCCTTATTTTCATCATACACTTCTTCGCTCTTTTCTTCTATACTTTCTATTTCAAATGTTTTTTCATTTTCAAATAAATTTCTTTGATGATACTTTTTAACATCTTTTTTTATATCCTCATTTTCATTGTATACGTTTTCACTTTTTTCAGTTGTACTTTCTATCTCACATGTTTGTTTATTTTCAAATTTTGTTTTTTCAAATAATTTTTGATCGAGATCCTTTTCTGTACTATCATCTTCATAATATCCATCTTTACACTTTACAATTAAACTTTCATCGTCATACTTTTTTTCATTTTCAAAAATTTTTTCAAACAATATGTTATCATCTTTTTTTATATCTATATTTTTAAATAAATCATTTTCATATACTTTTTTATCTTCTCCCTTTTTTGTTATTTTTTCTATTTCAGATATTTTTTTATTTTCAATAAAATTTTTTTCAAATAATTTTTTATTGCTATCTTTTTCTTTATTCTCATTTTTGTAGTTTCCATCTTCAAATTTTCCTACTATACTTTTTACTTCATATATTTTCTTATCTTGAAAAATTGTTTTTTCAAACAATTTTTTATTCTCCTTTTCTATATACTCACATTCATGGTTTCCCTCTTCACTTTCTTCTACACTACTTTCTACTTCATATATTTGTTCGTTTTTAAAAATATTTTGTTCACACAACTTATTGTCACTATTATTTTCTAATTTTTGCTCTACATTTTCTATTTCTTTATTTTTACATAAATCATTCTCAAATAATTTTTTGTCATTATTTCTTTCTACTTTTTGTTCTAACTTTTCCATGTTTTTATTTTCAGAGAACAATTTATATTGTTTTATTTTATTTTCCACTATTTCATTCTCAGTTTTTTCATTTTCATATAAATATTCTCCAAATATAATTTTGTTCACACCATTTTCTATGTGATTCCCTTTTTTGTCAATTTGTTTTTCCTCATGCAAATCACTTTCAAATAATTTTTCGTCTTTACCTTTTTTTATTTCATTTTTCATTTTTTCTATTATCTTATTTTTAAAAAAAGTTTCTCCAAATAATTCTCTATCTTTATTTTTTTGTATATTTTCATTTATAAATATACTGCTTTCATTTTGAATTCCCTTTATTCTTTCTTCTTTTATATTACTTACTTCATGTAATTCCTTATCTTCAAATGAAATTTCATTCTTTTTTTCTTCATTTTTTCTTAAATTATTGGTAGATTTAAATTCTTCAAACATATCTTTTTCTAAGCTAATTAAACTATTTTTCGTGTGAACTAATTGGTAATTATCATTTTTCATTAATGTATTATTTGAGATTATGTCATCTTTAATTTTTTTTTGATTATCACTATAACCTATACTACATTTATAATTATTAAGATGATTTTTATTTGAATAATTATTATTTAAATTGTTTTCATAATTTTTCCCAAACATATATTCAGATACCATACACAAATCATTTAATGAACTTAAATTATTTTCTTCATTTGTTATATTATACATTTTATTATCATTAGATATTTTAGAATTGTCTTCTTCATTTTTTTTTTTTGTATTATAAGAGTTAGTAAAATTATAATTGAAAAAATTCTCATGATCTATTTTAAAAAAATCATCATTAGTTTCATCAAACTCTTCAAAATTTATATCTTCCTTTTTATTTATATTCATTAAATTATTATTTGATATAAAATCTTTTTTGCTACTAATTTTTTCAAGTGTTAATGAACTACTTTTTTTTTCATCTATATTAAAATTTTTTTTTTTTAAATTATTAAAATTATTTGCTTCAACCTCCTCAAAATCTAAAAAAATATTTTCACCTTCATTATAATTTTTTGTGGCATATTTATTTTCATGTAAATTTTCATCAAAAGAGAAATTAAAATTTGTTTGAAAATCTATTTTGTTAATTTCTGTTTTCTTATGAGCATTTGCTAATGTATTATTAGATTCACTAGAAAAAAAATTCATATTTTTTTAAAATAAAATTAAATAATAAGATGTATTCAAATTTTCATAGTATATTTAATAGAAATAATGAGGGGTAATTATTACTTTTAAGCAATTTATATTCTTATATCAAAAAAAGGAACTTTTTTAAAATAATACAATATTTATATATTAACAACTTTACATACTAAAGTACCCTGTTCTTGGTATGGAAACATCATTTTTAAAGGTCACTTTATTAAAACTTTTTATACATATATTTTTGAGTAAATTCAAAAAAAAAGAGTAAAAGTCATTTTTGAAATAATAAGAAAAAAAAAAAAAAAAAAAATTTATACATATATATATATATATATGTATATAAATATAAATACTATTTAAATTATGCATTTAATTTACAAATTTCTTAGAGTATATATTTTGTTAAAATTGTATGATTTAAAATAAGAAATCCTAAAGCAAATTAGTAGTTACATATTTATGTTTTTTTTTTAAAATCATTTAAAAAAACTGAGAAATATAAAAAATTTATATTGCATTGAACATATATAACATTTTCTTTTCTCACAAATATAAAAAATTTTTAATAAACAAAAATATTTTAAAAATACTAAAAAAGAAAAATAAGAAAATATAAAAAATAGAATTTAAAAACATTTAAATATATATACAATGACAAAATAATATAATTTAATAAAATGAAAATAACAATTTTCTTTTCTTTTTATTTTTCTTTATCTCATAATGATATTTATTCAAAAGAATTTTTATACCCTTATTCATTTTTATAAAATATAAGGATAACTAACACATGATTCTTAAATTTTACTTTAAAAAAAGTTAAACAAAATATTTTGTGAAAATTTTAATTTATTTTCGATATTTAATTTATTATAATGTTATTATGCTTTAAATTTTATTTTTTAATTTTGTTTTATTATTAACATATGTTTGTGAAAATACATAAAAATTTAAGCAATTATTTATGTAATTTTAATATTATTCTATTTGTATATTTGTTATATTTTCCTTTTGAAACTATTATTTGTGCTACCATCTTTTAATTTTAATTCACTTTATATTTAATTATGATTCTCCTTAGTAAAAATAATGTGAAAGGATTTCTTAATTACTGCAATACAAAATGTTATAATTCGTTAATTAATAAAAATGATAATATATTCAAAAAAAATGTCTTTAAGAATAACATCTATTATGTCAAAAAAGCTTCAAGTGTTTTCAAGGAATTAATAAAAGAATCATTTAATAAATTCAAGCAAGAATATTTAAATAATAAAACACCAAATATAAATAAAGCATTAAAATTCTGTGAAAATAGTAACATGATATTTACAGAAAGTTTATATAAAGAAATTTTAATGTGCATGAATGTTTTGCATTATAAAGATCAAGAAGTAGACAATGAATTAAATTACTTACATGAATATTTTAAAAGTAAAAAAAGTGATATAGACCCTTTCACTTTATGTGAAAACAAAATAAAAATAGTTGATGAATATATATATAACATTATTAAGACAAATTATTCAAATATTGATGAATTTACATCATATATTTATTTATGTAAGGGAAAAAAATTTCGAATAATTTCAGGTATTTTTTTGAAGAACATACTATCATATGTTGATAATATGTTGACAAAAAGTAATTTAAAGTATCAAAATCTTCTGAAAAATAAAGCCAAATCACCTATAAATAAAAGTCTCATATCAAAAAGAAGAGCACTAATGAATTCAGGAAATCGTATCTCAAAAGAACAAATTGATGAAAACCAATATAAAATTATTGCAGCTGCAGAAATAATTCATATGGGATCACTTTTACATGATGATGTAATTGATGAATCATCTCAAAGAAGAGGAATTTTATCATTACATAAAAAATATGGAAATAAAGTATCAATTTTATCAGGAGATTTTTTGATAGCTAGAGCAGGTTCAGTTTTTGCAGATACAAATATCCCTAATATATGCAAAAGATTCGCTTGTGTAATAGAAAGTTTAATAAAAGGAGAATTTTTACAAACAAATTTAAGATTTGATAATATAGAAGATGCATTTAAGATATATTTAATTAAATCATATCATAAAACAGCATCCTTATTTTCTCACCTTTTTGCTAGTATAGCAGTCCTTTCCTTTAAAAATGAAAAAATTATTCAATTATGTTTTAATTTAGGTCTTCATATAGGTATGGCTTTTCAATTATACGATGATTATTTAGATTACAAAATAGACAATAATTCTAAAAAACCTATATTGGATGACGTAAAAAATAATATAAAAACTGCTCCTTTATTTTTCTCTTATAATTATAATCCAGATGTTATATTATCATTAATTAACAAAAAGTCATTTTCCGATAATGATATTAACAATATTTTAACATACATTAAAAGTACTAATAGTATGAAAAAGAATGAATTGTGTTCTCTATTACACATAAAGAAAGCATTTGACATCTTATCATTATTAGTTTCTAATTGTAAAACTATGAACATTAATGAAAAAAAAAAGATAAATGAATATGAGGAAGGTTTAATTAATATAATTTTAAATGTACTATCCAGAAGTATTAAATAAATATTTAAAGAGGCATAAATTTTAATAATAAACGAAATCAAAATAAAACTATCAAAAAAAAAAAAAAAAAAAAAAAAAAAAGCTTTAAATATTGCATAAATATATATTTTTTAATAAAAAAAAATAAAGTAGATATTTTGAATATTTTTATTTGTTAAAAACCTTTTTTCTTCCTTTTGTTTTAGAATTAAAGCTAATTAATATATACCTAATAATTATGTATCACAGATTCATGTTTTATAACTTCTTTCATTTTCTTAAAATTTTTATATATTCACTTCTATTTAATTTTCTTTTTCCTTTTTCTATCATCTACATAAATAATTTTTATAGGATACTATCTACTAAATTTAATTTTTTTTTTTGTATCTATATGCTTTATATAATTTTTTTCTTATCTCATTTTCTTTATTTTATTTATTTTTTTTTTTTCTCTTATTATGCATAATTATTTATGCTTTTTACAACTATAAAAGAAAAAAAAAAAGTTTTCTATTATTCATTTAAAAAATTTATTTATTTTTGTTAAAATTACCAAATATAAAAATCTATTTTTTTCATTCTTATGTTACTCCAAAATATTTTTTCTTCTTCTTTATTTAATATCTCTATTTCTATATTTTGATTTTCCAATTCTAAAAATTTCATATTTTTAAAAATCTGCTGATAGAATTTCATAAAATGTAAAGCTTCTTGTTTTGAATGCATCAATGCATAAGCTTCATTTTTTACATAATCAGAATGAATTAAACATATGTCTACTGAAAAAGAATATATATTTTTTTAAATTAAAAAAATTAAAAGAAACTTTTCGTAATAATATTTTACTATGAATAACAAAAATAAGGTGGGTTGTTAAAATAATTATAAATGTAAGATTAAAAAAATCAATGAATTAATAATAAAAATATACTTAATTTGAAATTATGATCATGTATAATTTTAAAAATAAAGAATATGAAATTTTTATATAAATAAAAACATTTAAAATAAAAACTTTCCATTGATTATATTGAATTCACAAGATAAATGAACTTGAATTCTTTAAAGAAGTTAATTTAAATTGTGAAAAAAGGTATTCAAAAAAAAAAAAAAAAAAAAAGAAAAAAAAAGAATCTAAATAGATAATAATAATTAAATATATTCACCTAAATGTTCAAAGAAGTGCTTTATCTCAATTTCATTTTCAAAACATTTAATATTTTTAATTCTTATTATACAACCAGTAGCTATAAAAATTATTGAAACATATACTTGCTTTTTAATGTTTCGAATTTTTAAAAATTTAAAAAATTTGTAATAATTACAAAATAAATAAAATAAAAATTTATAATAAATAAAATGAAATAATCTATTTTTATAACGTAATGCATGTCTTTTAAGTTATTAAAAAACCATAACCCTTGTTACTTTTGTACTTACGTTTATTCGGATATATGCATGATATTTTATTTTCCATTAATAAAAAAATAATAATTTTTAAAACCATATAAGTTTTTAGAATTTTATCTTAAGTAATCAAATAAAAAACTTTTTTATATTCCTTTACAATAAACTGTGTATATAAATTTTGTGTGTGATGATTTCATACTACGAAAAATATTTTTATTTAAAAAAAATTTTTAAATTTTGTAATATATAAATTTATGAAAAATAAAAAAATAAGCTTTATTTTTACCTCCCAAATTTTTTTTTTTTTTAATTATTTTGTATCATACAAATACTTTTTCCTTAAATACAATGATTACATTATTTGTTATATGCTTTTCATACTTAGTGAAAATAATGTTTTAATATTTATTCTTTAAAAATACTTAAAACCTGAAAACATGAATACTTTAAAAAGCTATATGAATTTGATTTTTCTTAAAGCTAATCACTATTTTCAAGTAAAAATTTAATTAAAGAATTTTTTCATATTAATTTTTTTTTTTATAAAATATATTTTTTTTAATTTTAAAAATATAGGTTTTCTATTTTTTCTACCTTTTCAGTGGTAGTTTTATTATTCGTTTTCAATGTATGTAAAAATAAAAAAAAAAATTATCTTTGAAATAGAAAAAGAGAGTTAATATAAGAAGTTATTATTAAAAATAAAAAAAATTAAAAACCTAAAAAATGAATATTAAAGATATATAATATACCATTCATTTGCTTTATATTATTTAATTTAATAGTTTAAATTGTTTTGTTTTACTGTTTTTTAGCGTACTTTATATTAGAAAGATATTACAATACTAGTTGTAATAGGTTTAATTATTTTGTTCACATAATTTTAACATTTAATTCAATTTTGAAATCTTATATATTTTTTATTTTTACCTTTAGTTTTTTCTGTATGCTAATTTTTATAAGTGGCTTTTCATCTTTTTTATTGTGTTCATTAAGTGATCCTGGTAATTTTTGTATTATTTTTTTATTTTTTCATTTTCATTTTTTTAATGTGTTCTAAATTTATATATATATATATATATATATAAAAATTTAATATATAATTACATAGGAAAAATATCCAGTAAATACTTAGATAAACATTTAAAATTTTATCCATATGATGGAATTATTTTTCATAAAGACTCAGAATGTGAAACTTGCAAAATTAAAAAGTAATCATATATTGTATAAAGAGAAATATATATTAATATGAAATGTAAATATATTAAAGTTTAATTAAATAAAAAAAAATGTAAAAATATATTTGTTATTGATTACAACGAAAAAAAAAAAAATAAATAAATAAATAAAAAAAAAAAAAAAAATTGTAAATAAAAAAAAAAAAAAAAAAAAAAAAATTCTCAGGCCTGCAAGAAGTAAGCATTGTAAATATTGTTCTTCATGTATATCCCGTTATGATCATCATTGTTTTTTGTTAAATAATTGTATTGGTGGATATAATAATGTTTATTTTATTATTTTTATATGTGTAAACATTATTATAACTTTTTATTCTTCTTATATTAGTAAAATAAAAGAGGACATATATACACTAATTTTTTATGTTTTCTAACTTTTTTTTTTTTTTTTTTTTTATTTTTACATCTTCTCTTAGTCTATATAGTGTAATCAAATATGAGAATCTTTTAGAAGGTACAGTAATAAAATAATAAATTTACTAATTTAAACACTATTAAAATAAGAATAATAATTCTTCTAAATGTTATGAATATATAAATATATATATATATTGAAGGTTCAATTGTGATAAATGTTTATAATAATTCTTAAAAAAAATATATATATATATATATTTAATTTTTCTTTAGCAACCTTTATAAATCATAAGACAAATGAAATTTTACCAAATTCTTATTTAACAATTGTCAATGTAAAAAAATAAGCTTCTAAAAATAAAAAAAAAAAAAAAAAAAAAAAAAAAAAATTCTATACAAAATAACAATAAATTTTTTTTCTCTTTTTTTTTTATACAATTCTATAGTATTTATTTTCTGAATATAGTGCCACATTCTCCTTATTCATTATATCTATATCTACATTTTTTTGTATACTACTATTTTTTTTACATGAAATATATTTGAATTTTTATGTTAATATGACAAATAATGAAAAAGCAAAGTATAACAAATTAAAAAATAGCAATCTTCATAGGAATAAAAATTTTTACAGTAAAGGTATTAAAGAATTTAAATAAATTTACAAAAAAATACTTATATAAATATTTGTATGTTTTTTCTTATTTAATACAGGTTTTATAAGAAATGTGAATGATGCTCTGTTTTATAAAAAAAATATAGAAAATTTTCCTAAAAAATTTTCTTAATGAACTTATATTCTCATTTTATAAAAAAGGATTTAATTTTTTTGTTAAATAAAAATAATATTATGTATAAAAATACCTTTGTATTATCGTATTCCTAACGTACTATTTAAAATGTATAAGATAAATGAAATGTGCTTTATATATATTCTTCTTAAAAATTATAAAAAGACACATATGAAAGATAAAATTCCTTATAAATGAAAAAGAATAAACACAGAATCAATAATATTCACGGTTTTTTTTTCTTTTTTTCTTCTTTACTATCTTTTTTTTTTTTTTTTTTTTTAATATTAATAGAACGGATTTTTATGGATAAAATTTATATTTTTTCTTTCAAACGTCTCATTAAAAATGTTGTTTTTTTTCATATGAATATTAGCTTGATTTATTTTTTCAACATTACTTATTTTATCTTTATATATACTATTATTATTTATATTCGAAATTTGATTTTGTTTTGAAATATCTACTTGATTAATTAAGTTGCTTTTCCTATTTGTTAATTTTGTTTTATTATTATATAGAATATAATCTTTATTGATATCTTCATTTTTTGTTAAATTGTAAACATTTTCATTGCTATTTTCTGAATTTATATCTAATCCATTATTCAAGTTATAAATTTTATAAGTTTCAATTAAATTTAATTCTTTTATCATATGTTTCACTCTTTTCAATTTTTTTACAGTTTCTTCATACTTATATAATAAGATATAATAATCATGATTTAATATTTTTTTGGATTTTTTCTCAAAACTTAATTCTTTTCTTAATTGTGCTATTGTTTTTAGTCTTATTTCATCTTTAGAAAAATTTAATATATCTGTAATTTTTTTATTCTTTGTATAATCATCAAACATTTCATTTTTTTTTTCTAAAAAGAAATATATCATTTCTTGTTTTATATCACTGGAAGTCTCAAAATAATTTAGAAATGAAAGCCATGAATTATCACATTTTTCTTTCTTAAATTTTTCATTTATATTTTTTATATAGTTCCTTAATTTATTTAAAAAATGAAAATACTTTAGAAGAAAATTTTTAATTTCCTCAGGGATAAACATGTGTTTCCACAGACTCTTATTTATATTTTCAAATAAGTTAACAAAATTATCATTTAAAAATAAAAAGTTGAGAATTTCCCTTAAAGCAATACATAAAACTATAATAATATTCTCATTAGCTTCTTCTATATGAGTATTTATGTTTTTTATTTCATATAATTTTTCTACATTCTTTGAATATAAATATGACCCTATTATTTTATCATTATGTATATTTTCACTTTCATTGATAATTTTCATTAAACGAAAACCATTTTCTTCTAATTTATCCATATTTTCTGATAAATATACATTTTCTCTTACTTCCGGTAAAAATTTTTTATGTGTTTTAAATGATCCTGTACCAACAGTATACTTGTTAGTTCTCACTTTTTCGCAGATTTCAATATTCAATTTATTTTCATTATTATTATTATTATTATTATTATTATTATTATTTAAATTTAAAGAAGTTTCACTTTTTGATAACTTCATTGACTTCAGTTTGTCATTTTTAATTTTCATTTGCTCATTTTTTTTTGTTAAAGATTTTATCAACTCTATATTTTCTTTGTTTTTTATTTGTAATTCTTTTAATTTATTGTCTAAATTTTTTATTTTTGTATCATAACTATTCTTTTCATTTAACTCGCTACTGTACAATAAACTCAATTTGTTTATTTCTTCTTTTAAATATTTTATCTCTTTTTCATAGTTCATAATTACCATATTATTATTTTTATTACAGCTTTGATTTTTAAATATTCCTTTCTTTTTTTCTTCATCGGCATTTTGTTCATTTTGTTTTATTAAATCCTTACTAGAATTTTCTATACTAACTGTTTCATCATTATTTATATGTATTTCATAATTTTCACTAGCATCATGAATTTTGCTGCTTTCCTCACTGTATACAGTATTATTTTTTATGTAACTCACATTTTCTTGGTTTTTAGAAAAACTTTTTAATGAAGTATAATTTTTATTTAATTCATCATACTTTATTTTTAATATTTCATATTTGCTCTTTATATTACTTATTTCATTTATGTAATTTTTTTTCTCATTTTCTATATTTCTGATATCATTTTCATGTTCGTTAATTGCTTGTTTTAAATTTTCTATGATATTCTTATTTTCATTTAATTTAATCTCATACTTGTTTTCTTTAGTTTGAAGTTCTTTTTTTAGTTCTTGTATGCGATTTATAAAATCATTTTTATCTTCTTTTAATTTTTCTATTTCTGTTTTTAATTTTTCTAATTCCTTCTTTTTTTTTTTCCCTTCTCCTTGCATTAGGTTGTTATTTTTTTCACACAATTCATTTTTAACATTTTTAAGTTGCATTACTTCACTACTTAAAGTGAAAATTTTTTTTTTTAATTCATCAATAAGTTTATCATCATTTTTTAATTTTTTTCTGTATTTTTCAATTTGAATACTACTCATTTTAGCTAATTCTTTTTCGTCATTAACTAATTCATTATATTTTGATTCTTTCTCTTCATTGTCTTTTTTTAATGTCTCATTTTCTATTTTTAATATATTAATTTGTGAACTTAAGTAACTTTTTAAATTTTTTTCACTTCCTTTATCAATGTCAAAATTATATTCATTATCACTTTTATTTTTAAAATACTTTTTCTTTAATTTTCTATTATTTTTATTTTCCTCAATTACACTTTTTGAGTTTGCAAATAATTTATATTTTGAAAGCTCTTCATTCAATCTTCTTATTTCATCATCTTTTTTTTTTTTTTCTTCATTATTTTTAATTTTAAGTTCACTGATAGATGAAATCAGATTATTAATTTCGTCAGTTTGTGAATTTAATTGTGTTTTTGAATTGTTTTTACTATAATAGAATGTTTTATCTTGCAAATTCTTAATTTCATTATTCAACTCATTTATTTTTTTATGACATTCTTCTATTTCCTTTTTTTTTAAAAGTAAATCATTTTTATATTTTTTTTTCATTTCTTTATATTTTTCATTCAATTCATCTATTTTTCTTTTAAAATTAAATATTTTTATATTATCAGGTGTGTTTTCTTCTACAAATAAATCAGGTAGATTCATAATTTTATCTTCATCCTTTATATTATCTCCTTCCTTCTTTTCATTATAACCCGAATTCATTTGAATTTTCAACATTTTTATTGTATCATCTTTTTTTTTTGTATATTCTTCAATGATTTTTATTAGTTCATTATCTTTTGTTTCATCATAATGTATATTAAAAATCCTACATATACTAATTAACAACTGTATTTTGTCATTATATAATTTTAAATGTTCTTCATTCTTTAATTTGAAATCCTTTAAACCCTCAATTTGATCATATAAAACTTGTTGCTTTTCGTGTGATTTCATAAGTGCATTATTTAGTTCTTCTTCAAAATATTTCTGTTTCATATCTAATTCGTCATTTAACAATTTTATTTTACTGTTATAATCTTCTTTTAATTCTAATAATTCCTTTTCTTTAATGTTTAGTGTATTTCTTAAATCGGATAGTTCTTCGGTCATATTAAGATTATTATCTTTTTCAATTAATTTTTTTTTTAAATCAATTAATTCATTTTTGTAATTATTTTCTATTTCTAAAATATTATTATTTTTCTCTTCTATCTCTCCTTTTAATTTATATATTTCATTTTCATAACTGTTCTTTAATTCATTTGTTTTTTTCTTATTTTCTTCTATTTCATCGTTTAAGTTATTTATTTCATTAATATAATTATTTTTTAATTCAATAAAATCTCTATTCTTTTCATTTAGTTCATTACTTATATTGTCAATTTCTACCTTATACTTATTTCTTAAGTTTTTTATTTCATTTTCTTTCATTTCTAATATATTATGAAAATTATTCTCTTCAATTTTATTTATATTTTCTGATTCTTTTAATTCATGCTTCATTTCAATCATTTCATCTTTGTGACTATTGCAAAAATTTATTATTTCTTTTTCTTTTTCTTTTAAATTATCTTTTATAGCACTTATTTCATTTTTATGAATATTTTTTAATTCTATTAACTCTTTTTCCTTTTCTTCTAATGTGTTATTTAAATTTTTTATTTCAGATTTATATATTTTTAGTTGAGTGTTATTTTTTAAAAAACTATTTTTTAAATTATTTAATTCATTCTCCATGTGTAGAAAATTATTTTCTCTTTTTTCAATATCTTTTTCTCTCAATTTAATTGAATTTAATTTTTCCACTATAGAATTTTTTTCTTCTTGTAATTCTTTTCCTTTTTTTTCAAAATATTTTTCTTTTTCGTCAGCTTTGATATTTAGGAATTCTATTCTTTCGCTTTTCTCTTCAATTTGCTTACCCAATTCTTGATATAATTTTTCTTTTTCATTTATTTTTTCTTTAAGAGAATTAATAATTTCATTTTTTTCAAACACTTTTTCTTTTAGCTCCTTTAAAATTTTTTCTTTTGATATAACTTTGTCAATAACAGTTTCTAAATTTTCCTTTTTATTTTTTACTTCAAAATTTAATTTTTCTAATAATTTTTTTGTATCAATTATTTCAAATTCCAATTTCTCCTTTTCATTTATTTTTTCTATATATTCCATTTCTATAGTATTTAATTTTTCTTCTTTTTTTGAAATTAATTTTTCTTTATCACTAATTTTCTTTTCTCTCATATTTATGTCTAATTCTTTTTCTTTTAATAAGTTTTCTTTTTCATTTAGCATAGCACTTTTTTGTCTAACAAAAATTTCCTTTTCTCTTAATTCACTGTCATATTTATTATCTGTTTTTTTATTTTTTTCTTCCTTTAATTCTTTTTCTAATTCTTGAATTTTATATTCATAACTAACAATTTTTGAAGATAATGTTGTTATAGACTTTATTGTTTCTTTAAGCTGTTCTTCTAATTCATAATTATTATTTTTTTCTTTTATTTTTATATAATTATCTTCATTGTCCTCTTTTTTATTTTCATTTTTATCTTTATTTTTTGTGTTTTCAATTATTTTCTTATACCAAGAATTGTTTTTATCTTTTTTTACATTTCCACTAATGTCTTTACTATCATTATAAGAACTTTTATTTAATTTATCTAATCCTTTTTCTGTTTTTTTATTTTTAAATTTAAATACCATTGCTCCTTAATTTTCTTTCTTTAATTATATATATATATATATAATATTTCTTTAGTTAGATATAATTAATTATGTCTTTTTTTAATGTATATTTTAATCAATAATATATCTTTTGTTGTTTTGATAATAAAAATTGAAATTCATTAAAGAATCTTTCTCACTATATAATAATTTAAAACAAAATTTACAATATTATCAAATAAAATAATAAAAACTTTATATAGTTACCTGTATAATTAAAGTTAATAAAAAAATGTATTAAAATTTTTTTTATAATTGTAACAACAAATATTACACAAATATAAAAAAAAAAAAAAAAAAAAAAAAAAAGAAAAAGTTTTCAAGTTAATGATAAATTATTATTATTTGTAACAATTTTTATTATAATTATACATATATGTATATATTAATTTTTTTTAAATATTAAATAATTTATTATGTTCTCAGTGGTAAGTAGATGAAGTTATTGAAAGTTTTCATAGAAAAAACATAAATAAAATAAATAATAATAATAAACAATTTATCAACACATTTATATTTAAGTTGAATAAAATGAAAAATATTAAATGAAACAGTTTTAATAACATATATTTCAGTAAAATTATTAAAAAGAAAAAAAAAAAAAATTAATTGAAATAAAAATAATGGAAAATTACACATGTTTTAAATTACACTAACCATTATACTATAAAAAAAAAAAAAAAAAAAAAAAAAAAAAAAAATGAATAGGAATAAGAATAGGAATGTTTTACCAATCAATGATTAAAATATATTACACAAAAAAAAAAAACAAAAAGAAAAAGAATAGAAAAGAAAAAATAAAAGTTCTAAATTTTAACTATATTAAGAGAAGGTTAAAGTAATATATACAAAATGTACACTCTATTTTAAAAATACATTAAAATTATTTTCTATATATAAATATCTGAATGTGTGTAATAAACGAATATTTATATATAGTCAAAAAAAAAAAAAAAATGTAAAATAAAATTAAAATACTATAGAAACATTTTTTTTAGAAAATATTTAAATTTACAGCTTTCATAAATTTAATAAAAATTGATGTGTTTCTAATTAAATTTATAATAAAAAAAAAAAAAAAAAAAATTATTTTATTTACTGTAGACTTTTCCAATACACCATAACGATAAAAAAAAAAAAAAAAAAAAAAAAAAAAAACTTTAAGTGGTTAGAAACTTTTTATTAAGAAAAGTTTAATGATTATTTGTACACCTATGCATAACTTACAGTCTTTTATTTTTTCAAATTGATTTTCTATGAACAGAACAAAGTATTTAATAAACAGAAAATATTTTTATTGATGTTCTATATATAAAGTATATTATTAAGGTATACATATATTTACATTTCTTCTAATTAAAAAAAAAAAAAGAAACATATATTTGATTATGCAAAATGTTTCAACTTCTCTTTATGGTTTTTATCTAATATATACATTATAAAATATTTCATTTTTATTTAAATTTTTAAACTCCTTTTTTTTTTTTTTGTTTCTGACATTCAATGTACCACTCAGTTTTAACAGAAAGAAATATTTTACAATTGTGATAAACATACAGTCATACTATACATAATGATATGTTATACTACTTATGAAAAAAAAAAAAGAACATTTTGTCTAACTTTTTATAAAATATATCGTTTTTTATTATAGCAAATTATTTTAAAATAGAACAAGTTAAAGAGTTTTTATATAATAGAAATATAGAATTTATTAATTAAATGAGAATGTTTTATTTTTGAAATACAGTTAACTAAATGTAAATCATCTGCATTTTTTTACCTTATTAATAATTTTAGCAAAAATTGCATAGAATATAGTTTAATATAATTATATGAATTAATAAAGATTAATTTTATAACAATAATAATTAACTTATTTATATTTATATATTTTTTACTTCTTCTTAAAACAAAAAAAAATATTTATTTTTTAACTGTAAAAATAAAAGAATATTTAAATTGAGATAATTTTTAATAATTTAAAATAGTCATGGTTACAAAAAAGTAAAAATTAAATTTGTATTAGAATATTCTAACCAATGATTAAAAAAAGTAAATCATTAATAAAACAAAATGAGGTAAAAATTACAAAACATAAAAAAAAAAAAAAAAAAAGTAAATGAAAACAAACAATATAAATTATAAGAGGTTCATTCAATTACATTAAGGAATACTAATTCTTAAAAAATTATTTTCTTAATTTATAATCCAAAATAAAGTATTCAAATTATGAATATTTCATAATATGAATTTTTTTCATTATATGTAGCTAAAATGTATTTGTTTTATAAAGAAATCTAATTGTACTAAAAATTTAAAAAAAAAAAATTTACGTAAAAACATATAATTCTCCATTTTAAAGCAACATTGTCAATATATCATTATTATTCAATATTATCTCAAGTGATTAATTTTAATAATTTTTATTAATGTAAAACGGAGAAAAATAACTCTGAAAATGTTATTAAGAATATTTTCAGAATATATTTATAAAATTTTTTTTATAATTAATTGTTTTTATTTTTATATTTTATTTATATACTTATAACTTATTGATTAATTTATAGTTTTCTTGAATTTTTTTTTTTTTTTTTTTATCATTATTATATTAACATTATATCCATCATGGCAAAACAATTTTTTTTAATTTATTACAACATTCATACCAAAGAATTATTTTTCATATCTTGGAATATCATCAATATTTTTTAAGAACTCAAAATTCTTATAATTTTCTTTTCTATTTTCTATATTATTTGAAAGATTTTTGTTTTCTTTCTTTTCATTTGATGAATCTAAATTTAAATCATTTAAAGATTTAGCATTTTCATCTTTTAATTTAATTTCTAAAAAGTATAAATTGTCTTTTCCAAGTTTCTGAAAAAACATTTCAGGTTCACAAGATTTAGAACTTGATACTTTATTTTTATTTATATCATTAAAAAAAAAAAAATTTTTTAGAAAATTTCTAAAAATATTATTTTTTTTTTTTCCGTTATTTATTTTAAGAATATCTCTTATTTCATAAATAGAATTTGGTTTTTTTTTTATAAGTCTCTTTTTAGTTAAGAATTTATGATTTAATAGGTTCATTACATTTCCTCTACTTTCAGGTTTTTTTTGTAAGCATTTTTCGACAAAGTAACATAAATGTTTACTAAATCCATCATTAATATTAATTTTTGGTGATGAATTAATTATATTTTTTATATTTTCATTCAAATTTTTATTTCTTTTCCATGGAAGGGAGCACATAACTATCTCATAAATAGTTATCCCTAATGACCAAATATCAACTGAGCTATCATAATTATCTTTCATCAAAATTTCTGGTGGTATATAATAAATGGTACCAATAATTTCTTTTGATTTTTTATTTGTTAATTTTTCACAAGAACCAAAATCAATTAATTTTGCAGTCCCATTTTTTGAAAGTACAATATTTGTTGGCTTTATATCTCTGTGTATAAGTGGAAATATACATTCATTATGTAAATAATTCAAAGCTTTTAAAATATCTTCTATTATATATACTAAAATATCTTCTGATATTTTTCCATACTTTTTATATAAATCATGTAATGTCCCACCAGATAAAAATTCACAAACAATAATTAAATAGGAAGGTGGCCAAAAAAAGGATTCATAATATTTAACAATATTTGGGTGATCACATAATTTTAAAAAATAAACTTCTTTTAAAATTTTTTTTAAATTATTTTTCTTACTTAAATAACTTAAATTTATAATTTTAAGGGATACTAAATTTTCTTCATCATAATCATCTTCATCATTATCATCTTCTGTTTCTTCAATATTTTCAACTTTTCTTATATTACTTTTCTTCTCCGAATATTTTTTTTCTCTTACTTTTTTTTTTACTACTACTATTTTATTTCCTTCTTTTTCATTACTTATATTAGTAACGTTTCTTGTTACATTATTATCTTCACTTTCATCCTCTTCTACATTTTCATCTTCTTCATCATCCTCATCCTCTTCTTCATCCTCTTCTTCATCTTCTTCATCCTCTTCTTCATCTTCTTCATCCTCTTCTTCATCATCTTCATCATCCTCATCTTCAATTTCATCCTCTTCTTCAATTTCATCCTCTTCTTCATCCTCCACTTCAGTTTCATCCTCTTTTCTTTCTTTCTTATCTTCATTATATTCCCTTATTTTTAATTCTTCCTTTTCATTAGTTTTTTTTTTGAAATTATTTTTTTTTTTTGTTGAATTATTTTTTTCGAAAAAATCCTGGTTAAAATAATTTGTGTTTTCACTTTTCCAAGCGGAAAAAACAACTCCATGTGCTCCTTTACAGATAATTTTATTAATCTTATAAACACTAGACCATTTTTTTAATTTTTTTTTTTTTAATCTCCTTTTGTTATTTGAGCATACTTTAACCTTACCATAACCATTATGTACATATAAATTTTCTTTAAAAAATTCCACTGTTTCATCTAATACTAAATTTATTTTTTCAGCAATTTTTTCAAAATTTTCTAATAAAAAATTCTTATTTTCTAAAAAATCATTTTTTCTGTCTTTATTTTCCTTTTCTTTACCAGTTGAATTCATTTCATTTATATCACTTTTTTCACTTTTTTCGAACAAATTACTATCAACAAAATTCTCCTTACACAATATATTCCTTTGTTCCACATTGTCTATAATATCATCAATCTTCATGTTTTCTTCTTTTTTATGATTTTGCAGTGAGTTATCATTTTTTTCAATTTTATCTTCAATATGTTTTATGATTTTATTATTTTCATCTGATTTATTTTTAAAAATATTATTATCTGTATTTTTATTATTATGCAAATGATCATTCAATTTACTTATTTTTGCACTATCAATATCATTATCGTTATCTATTTGAATATTAAGAATATTACTTTTACTGTTCTCCATTATTCCACTTTCATTTATATTACTTTTAACATTTTTATTATGATTATTATCAATAATAATGCTACAAATAAAATTATTATCCGTATTGCTGTCATTGTAAATTATATTTTTACAATCATTTATATTATTATCATTTTTATTAAGAATATCATTACTCCTATGATCAATATTATTAGTATCTATAATATTGTTATCATAATTTGTAATGTCATTTTCTGGTTTATTTTTTTCTAAATATTTTCTTTTCTCATTGCAAACTAATTTATTAAGATCTTCATGCTTTTTTGAAATATTTTCATCTACATTTTCGTTTTTATCTTTATCTTCATTCAATGCATCCTTTTTATATATTTTTCTGTTACGATTAAAAAGATCGAAATATTTAAAAAAGGAAAATGTGTCACTTTCATTATTTACTTTAAAAAATTTATTATTGAAAATACTTTTTTCTTTAAAAAAGTAAGACCTTAATTTATTTGTATTAAATAAATCATTTTCATCATTTACAAAACAATATTTTTTAAAATTATCAATGTTGTGAGTGTGACCTAATTTAAAATTTAAATCGTAATTTACATATGAACTTTTTTTTTGTAATAAATTATTTTTATAATTGTAAAAATGACCATTATTTCCATCAACTAAATTTTCACCGTAATTTACTGTTTTACACTGATGGTTCTTTTGGCTATTTTCTGTTATATAAGCGCTACTTAATTTACTTAATTTATTATTTTTATAATTGTTATTTACTTCATTATCATTTAAATTATTGTCATCATTTAAATAAATAGAATCTCTTTCATTTATTAAAATAGTACAGTAGCATTTGTCATCAGATAAACTAGTTAAACTGTTTTTACTGCTATTATTATTTATGTTCTTATTATCATTTTTATCAATATCAAAATTTGCATTTTCCTTCAATATAAATTCATTCTTATTATATATGGAGAAGTGATCAACTAAATTATCATTCAACAATTTCTTTTCTATATTTCTATTTAAATTACTTGTATAATAATTATTTTTATCAGTTGCATCAAAATAATTAGTCAAATCTTTCTCTGATTTTCCTTGTAGATAAATATATGAATTTTTGTTAGAATTATACTGTAATGTTTTGAAGAGTTTTTTTTTATTAAATTCATAATTTTTTATTTCATTTTTATTAAACTCACATGTGTTACTTATATCTATATTATTTTTCATTTTTTCAGAATTATGATTTACGTTAAAACTATTTTTTGTGTCCTTTTTTTTAAGGAGAAAATATAAAAAATTTTTCTTGTCATTTTGAAATAAATAAAAATTATTCATGTTTTTTTTATCACTCTTTTCATTAGTTTTTTTAAATGATATATCATTGTAAAAGTTGGATATTTTATTTAAATCATTCTTAACATTGTTTCTTCTTGCAAAAAATGACCTAAAATTATGAAAATTATCATCTTTTAAATTATAACCGTAACTAGTTCTTAAATGTTTGTTTATTACATCTTTTTTATTTTTTATATTATTAATATTATTATCTATATTATCTATATTAACTATATTACTGTTTATTTTGCTTTCAACACATATTTTACTTAATCTGTTATATACATAATTTTCATTATATGAAATTGCATGTTTATTGTTGTTTGTCCCTTTGTAAATCTTACTTTGGTTATTCATTTTCCTTTTAAAAAATCTATCTGTTGATATTTTAATTAAATTAAACATATCAACATTGCTAATTTCATTTAAAAAACTATCTTTTTTTATTGTTTTATTGTTAAAATCATTATGTTCTATTATATTTTTTGTTTGCTTATTATTAAGACCATTCATACAAATTTCATAATTATTCTTATTGTATAAATCACTGGAGCATGTTATATGATTATTTTTTACATTTTCCTCATTATTTTTTTCCTTTTTTTGTTCCATTTCTTTTTCTGTTTTTCCTTCTTTTTCTATTTCTTTTTTTTCTTTTTCCTCTATATCTTCCTTTTCTATTTCCACTTTTTCTATTTCTATTTTTTCTTTTTCTTCTATATCTTCCTTTTCTGTTTCCACTTTTTCTATCTCTTTTTTTTCTTTTTCCTCTTTTTCTGTTTCTTTTTCTTTTACTTGGCTTTCTATATTTTTAAATATTTCTTCTTGAATATATAATTTACAATTTTGCAAGTTATTTTTATGTGTTTCATTGTTATTTATGAGATAAATATTTCTTTTATTATTATCTTCACTAATATGTGAAATTTTTTCTTTATTATTAAAGCAACTGTTTTTTGTAGGAAAAATCATCTCCAGCCTATTTGTTTTACTTTTAGAAAATTTTTTTTTATCATTATCATTAGGATTAGGCTTAACCGGACTATCTATAATATCATTTAAAAAAGATGATTTACTTTTTTTTTTTTTTTCAACTTTTAATAAATTCGATGTGTCATTGAATTCAGAAAAAATATTTTTACACACAATTTGTTTACTTTCTTTTTCGCAATATTCATTTACACTGGAATTATCTTGTTTAAAATGTTTATCGGTTAAATTATTTTCATCTTTTATATCTTTAAAGCACATTTCATTATTTAATATTCCATCTATATTATTTATTAAATTAATGTAATTCTTCTTTTTTATTTTGTTTACAAGAGTAGGCTCATTATCATTTAAATCAACATTTTCTTTATTTTTCAAATTATTTTTCTTTTCTTTTTCTTCAAAATTTGGTTCATATTTATTAAATGAAAATAATTTATTTTTTAAATATAAAATATTTTCCTTGATTGACTTTTTTTCCTCTTTATTATCCATATGGAGCATTTTTTTATTTCTATTATTATTTTTTTTAAAAATATTACATTTTTTTTTTTTTAAAATGACATTTTTTAATAAATTTTTAGTACTTTCAATGGAATTTCCTTCTGTTTTATTATTTTTCACACTGACATTATCGTGTAAACTTTTATTATAATATCTGTCTTTATCATTAATTAAAAAAGGGAAAAGGTTATTATGATTATATGAAATATTTTTTTTTTTTTTTTTTTCAGAATTAAAATTATTTGAATTTTCTGAATTAATTTTTTTAATTATAAGATTATCACTTATACATGAAAATTTCTCTTCTTTATTTTCCTCATTTTTTTTATTTACAAATAATTTTATATTCATTTCATTATTTAAATTTTCTTTCTCTTTATTTTTTATAATTAATGAATTTGAGTTCATTTTTTTTATATCATTTTTTTTTTTGAAATTTAAATAATTTATGTCTTTATTTTTTTCAGCATCTAACCCATTTTTATTATTTAAATCATAAATGTTCAAACTATTTTCTTCATGCAAATCAAAATTTAGTTCATTTTTTTTATTAAAATAATTATAAATTTTCTTATTTTCATCTTTTAAGTAGTTAATATATACCTGACCATTTTTATATGAAGAACTGCTATCATGATTATGATTTAAATAATAAAATTTTTTGTTACATTCATTAGTTTCAACATTTTCTCTTACATAAATTACATTTTTTTTAACTTTTTCAAAATTATCACCCTTTTCTCTTTTTGCATTACTTATACATACACTTAAATTATTTTTATAACCTTTATTAAGAAAACCAAATAAATTTTTAAAATCACTATTTACATAAATTAAGTTACTTTTATTTGAAGAATTATGTGTTTCATCAATTTTTCTTTTCAAAATATTTTGGCATTTAATATTCATAAAAATATTCTGATTAAAGTTATCTAATTTATTTATAAACATATTTTTGTCTTTATTTATCTTGTTTTTTAAGGAATATTGTAGTAAATTTTTCATATTATCTTCATAATTATCCAATGATTTATTATATAAACTATTAATTGTATATTTATTGGTGTTATTCGAATTATTTATAAATATGTATTTCTCTTTATTTTTATTATTATCACTATTGATAAGTATATTTCTATGAAAATCTTCATTGTTATAAGCATAAGTATAGTTATCTTTTATGTAACTATTGTTTTTATTTTGGTTATCAATAGAATAAATTCTATTTGTTAAATTAATACTGTTCATTATATTATCTAAATTGTTTGCATTAATAAAATCATTCGTAGATATATCATTATTATAGACATTTTTCCTTTCATATAATCTTCTTTTAAATAAAACTCCATATGTGAAATCAATATTTTCTTCTATTTTTTTTAAATTTCTTTTAAATTTACATTGTATTGTATTCATTGACACTATAGATAAATTATTTTTCAACTCCTTATTTTCATTACTTAAAGCTTTTTTTTTATTATCTTTAAATAATTTTTTTTTGTTAAATCTTTCATCTTCAAAAAGTTTCTTACTTAATTTATTTTTCTTACAACCTGAAGTATTTTCTTTTTTATCAAAAAACATTTTATTATTTTCATTAAATAACACAATTAAACAAAAAATTGAGAATTATAAATACCATAAATTTAAATTATACAACATTTAAAACATATTTCATTTAATATATATATGTATATATATATTAGTATTACATTTTTCCTTTTTAAAAAAATTCTTTTAAAGTTTAAAAACTACTGATAAATATATTTTACTAAATTAAAAACATATATATGTTTATAATTTCTTCATACAACCATAAAAAAATGCTTACAAAAATGTATTTTAATTATTGACTAAAAGATAACTTATGCTTTTTTACTGCAAAAAAAGAAAAAAACACAAAAAATAATAACTTCTTATTAATAATGATATTTTTATCTTTAATTTTTAAAAAAACTTTAGAACTTTACCACATATATTTGTGTGCAAAATTATAGTAGTGCATGTTTACAACAAAAAAAAAAAAAAAAAAATAATAAATAAAAAAATAAAATTTATATATGAATAAAATAAAATAATTCTCCTGTTTTCTAATAATTTTAAGTAATTAATAAATTAAAATAATATTTTTTTTTAATACTATTCATTTTCTATCTTTTTTTTTTTTTTTTAATTATAGAATTTAATATATTATCATTTATAATAAATATTCAAATATATTATTATTTTTATTTATTTGAGTATTTTGTAGTATTCCTGTATTATCTAGGTATTCTCTACTTCTATAAAATATATGTCTGATCTTTTCAAAATAAATATTTTATTTAAAAATTAAAAAAAAAGAAAGAAATTTAAGGAAAAATTAAAAAAGAAAAAATAAGTAAATAAAATAAAGTATAACAAAATGAAGTTTAACAAAATAAAGTATAACAAAATGAAGTATAACAAAATGAAGTATAATAAAATGAATTAAAATAATATATTAATAGAAAAAAAAGTGTGTAATAAATATACAACAACTTATAAATCCATTAATTATATGATATTCATATTAAAATAAAATTAATTTTTAATATTAGTAAAAATGAGTGTATAAAATATATTTCATAAGGTTTATAAATTTTATTATGTTGTTTATATTAATCTTTTATAATTTAAGAATTTTCCAATTTTACTTATTTTATTTTTTAAAAAAAATATATAAAACTATTTAGTAAATTATACTTATTTCTTATTATTAACTTTATATCATTTGTATGTAAAAAATAGGGAATACTAAAAGAGTAAGAATTATTAAAAAAACAAAAGTAAAATTTTCTAGTATAAGTTTATATATATTAAAGAAAAATTAATAAAAAAAAACATAATATTATGAAAAAAAAATGAATATGATAAAATTTAAAAATAGAAGATATAGTATAAATTAAATATATGTAATAACGTATTACGAAAAAAGAAATTACAGAATTATGAATTTTAAAAATAATATTAAATTAACATTCGTTAGTAATTATTATTTTATATTAGAATGAGTAAGATGGTATTTATATAAATGCAAAGAATTCAATATAATTGAAGAAAGATTATTAATTATTGTGAAAAAGTAATAGTTTATTTCTAAAATTTATTTATCTAATATTATTTTAAATGTTTTTTTTTAACAGTATCCAAAATATATTCTAATGAAAATAGAGGTTAAAGTTTTTAATCTCTTTTTTTTTATATACGCATAAGACGTCTTATTTGTTTTTGTTAACCCTTGTACGTTTTATAATCAATTTTTTTAAGAAATTCCTAAAACAAAAATCAAATTGATCTTATGTTTCTAATATAAAAAAATTGAATTATGAAATATAATTTTTTAATTAATAAAATAATTATGTTTACAAAAAAAAAAAAAAAAAAGGATATTATTGTTTATTATAAAATTTAACATATGAATTTAAAATTAACAAGTAGAAAAAAAAAAGTTGAACAGAATTATTAAAAATAATCATAAAACAAGGATGCTAAAAAATAATTGCAAAAAAACAAAAGTATTATTAAAAAATGATAACGAAATTACATAACAAAAAAAAAAAAAAAAAAAAAAAAATAGAAGAAATTTTGTAAGAAATAAATAAATTAAAAAGATAATTTTCTTATTTTTAAAAATTAAAAAATATATTCCTTAATTTTATATAAATGCTAAAATTGAAAAAATAACTGTTTTCTATACATTGGATCAAAAAAAATTCTTGAAGCTACTTGACTTAATACATATAAAAGATGTCTAGGAACAAATTTAATTGAGTATTGATTTGATGAATAATTTTTAATCATTTCTTCTGATTCTTCTAAAAATGTAAAATATTTTTTATTATTATTTTGAACATAAAGTGGTCTACTTATGTAACTATCACTTTCAATATTCCAAAAACAAAAATTATTTAAGAAATTATTATTAGATGAAAAATTTTCTTCCTTAATTATTTTTTCATTTTTTTTAAAGTTTATTGGATTATTATTATCATCATCATCATCATTATTATTATTATTATTATCATCAACATCATCATTATTATTATTATTATTATTATATTCATTTTTGTTTTCATTATTATTATCATCAACATCATCATAATCATTATTATTATTATTATCATCAACATCATCATTATTATTATTATTATCATCAACATCGTCATCATCATCATTATTATAATTATTATTGTTGTTGTTATTATTGTTGGCGTTTATGTTATAATTAATATTATCATCTATATAATTATTAAAACTAATGTTATTACTCACATTATTACTATTATTGTTCACTATTTTTCCACTTTTTTCTTTTTTTCTTTCCTGTTTTTTCTCTTCCTCTTTTGATATAGAGTAAAATTCTTTATCAATTTCCTCTATTAAATGTACATTTTTTTTAAATTGATCATAATTAAAGGAAATAAATATAGAATTATTACTTTTTATTTCTTCTTCGTTATCATTATTTATATCATCTTTATCGGAAGTATAAATTAAAAAATTACTTACTTCATCACCTATTATATTTAACCTATGATTATATATTTTATTACTATTTTCATTTAGTATAATATCTCTGTTTAACTTATTTGGAGTTATTTTATTTAAATTATTGCATATTTCAGATAAATTTTTAAAATTATCATTAAAAATATTTGAATGATCTACATTATTATTTTTTTCTATTGTTTCTTTATAAGAGTCTTCTTCACTATCTATTTCCGATATATCACATGAGGAACTATTTTTTTTGCTTGAATTAATCATATTAAAATTATTATTTATAAAATAATTTTCATTCAAATTATGCTTATTATTATTAGATTCAATTATATTAAAATTTGTTGATTTATAAGATTCATTAAAATTGGTGTTTTTTAAGTAACAATTATTTTCATCTTTATTATTTGTTTCTTCAATTAAAACATTGTTAGGACTATTTTCTTCATTTATAATTTTACTCTTTTTTATTATTTTTTCAACTTGATTCAATTTTCTTTTTTTTTTTTCCTTTTTTTCATTTTCTATATTTAAAAAATTTACATTTAATAACACATCAGAATTAAAGATGTCCCTTACCCAATCAACATAAGACGATATATAAGTGTCACAATATTCCATTTTATGAACAGAATTTTTTGTTTTTATTTTATTCATTATATATATATCCATATATTTATGTTATTAAATAATTATAAACATTTTTTTTAAGTTTTTCAAAATTTTATAAAAAATATAATAACATATATATATATATTAGTAACTAAAAAAATTTCTTCGTTTAATAATATACTCTTTTTATATTTTTTTTTTTTTTTTTTTCATATTATTACTTTTTTTTTTTACTTTTTTTTCCTTATTTTAATTTAATTTTTTTTAAATGTTATATATTTTAACAATGTATTATGCAAATTTTATCTCATTTTTATATATAGTTTTTTATTATATTATCTCATTATTTTTTAGTAAAAATTTTTCATTTAATACATAAGTTAAATAATTTTTTCTTAATAATGTAAAATAAATTTTATTTTTATTTTTTTTTTTTTTTTCTGTAATTTTTCTATGTAAACTTTTTTAATTATATATGGTGTTAAAATTTTATTAGTTTTTATTATTATCTTAAATTTTTATTTTTAACATATAAAAGAATGTTAACAATTACTTATTTGTAAATTTAAAAAAAAATGATTAAATTGCACCACTTTTTGTTAGAATATGAAAAAAAATATATTTATATATATATATAAATAACACATATTTAAAAGATAATTTATCTAATTTTTATCTAAACACATTATATTTTAAAAAATATATATATACTTAAAACATTTAAAATAATTTTAAATATAAAAAAATATGTTTTATATATAAATGTTTGTTTAAATAGTTTCTTTTTACTTTTTTTTTTTTTTTAAGTATATATGTATATAGATATTTCATTGAATTTTTATTTTTTTTAAACATGAGTGAAGATATAAGTAAATTAAAAAGTGTAGAAGATAAACCTAGTGATACACATGAAACAAATGAAGTCTTTTATGATGATGATTCAGAAAATTTTTTAATTATTTCTCATAGACAAAAATTAAATCCTCTAATAAAAAAAATAAATAGAGTTAGATATAAATTTAATAATATTATTCCAGATTTCTTAATAGGAAAAAATAATGCTTGTCTCTTTATATCAATGAAATATCATAGATTAAGATCAAATTACTTAAAAGCTAGAATTGAAACACTATCAAATAAATATAATAATAGAATATTACTTTGTTTAGTTGATATTGATAATATTGATAATTCATTAGGAGAAATAAATCAACTTGCTTTTTGTTTAAATATGACTCTCATATTATGTTGGTCAAACGAAGAATGTGCTCGAGTTATAGAAGATTTTAAAATTTATGAAAAAAAAATCTCCTACTTGAAAAATAAGGTTTCTTCAAAACAAGACGAAAAAATATTTGAACTTTTAAAAAAAATTAGATGTATTAATTCAACTGATTGTGTAACACTTATTAAAAAATTCAAAAATTTTAAAAATATTATAAAAGCTAAAAAAGATGAACTGATAAATTGCTCAGGTTTGGGAAACAAAAAAATTAATGCATTAATATCAACATTTAATGATCCTTTTTTTTAATAATCTTTATACATTTTCTTTTATTCATATAAATTTAATTTTAATAAGTCTTATTAAGAGCCCTTTTTTTTTTTCTTTTTTTTTATTATTCTAATTATTCTTTAAAAAAAAAAAACTTATATACATTTTATAGGTTAATTCATAATGAATTATTAATTTTCTTAAAAGTAAAAAAAAAAAAAAAAAAAACTAATTTATAAATTTATATATAAATGATTATTAAACTGAAAATAAAAAATTATATTAGGTAAATATTTAAATATTTGTATTAGTATACAAAAAAAAAAAAAAAAAAAAAAGAAAAAGGATAAAAGAAAAAAAAAAGAAAAAAAAAAAGAAAAAAGAAAAAAAATTTCATATTAATTTAAAAACCTCTTTTTCTTCAATATTTTTTTTTTTGTCTTATTTATGTTAATATTTCTTTTTTTTTTGAAGCTTTTTATAATTTTTTTTTTCATTAAGCATATATTTACTATTAAAAAACTAAATAGAAATTCATCCAAATATAACTAAAAAAAAAAAAAAAAAAATTTAAATATATAATTTATATTTTATTTTAATATTTATAATATTTTTATTTAATTATTACTGCTTGATGCTCCTCCTGGTGGCTGATTGACTTTTACATTTGTTTTTTTATCTGTTTCAGAAGGCATTTTGCTTGCTTCTAAATTTCCAGCTGCCCTAACATTTTTGTTATGATTTAAATTGTTTTTTTCATTTTTATCACTAATTTTTTTATTTTCTGTATCTATATCTATTTATATTTTTTCAACAAAAAAAAAAAAAAAAAACTTATATATTTAAGTATATAATATAAAACAATAAAAAATTTATATATAGTTGTTTTTTTTTTTTTTTTTTCCTTAATTCTTTTTTTATATATTACAATTTCCAAATGATACAGAGGAATTTCCACCTGGTGCGTTCGTAATTCTAGTACTCGATCTGTTCCTTATAAAAGGATTATCTTTTACATCTGTTAAATAAAAAAAAAAAAAAGTATAGAGAAAATCATATTATATATAATACATATAAATACATGTATTTTTACAAATAAAGTGTAAATATAATAATAATTTAATTATTTTTAAAACAATTTCCAAAAAAAAATATATAATTAAGTTAACTCTTAAGAATATTTATAATAAGTATTGTGTATATAATATATCACTAAATATATAAGATTATAAATAATTATATAAATAAATATCAAATTTATATACATAAAAAAGAAAAATTGAACTTACCCATTTTTATATTTATTATACAGAAAAAAAAATTAATATGAAATATATTATATATTGATTTTATTTCTTTAATTTTAAAATTGTCATTTACATTTTTTTCTTTTTTTTTTTTTCTCTAGAGTCGACCTGCAGGCATGCAAGCT